GGGAGCCGTCCATGCAGTGTACAGCTCAGAGTCTTGTGACCCTTGCTGGTTCAGCCTGTAGGGCACGTAGCCCCTGCTAGTGTAGCTTCTGAGCAGGGATCTGGGTTTTCTGTTCGCTGTGGAAAAATGCAGTTTTTCTTCTTTAGGAGAGAAAAACACAAATTTTCTCCTTTAAAGCAGAAAATCATGGATTTTCCCCTTTAAAGGAAAAAAAAGTGGGAAATCACAGATTTTCCCTCACATACTGGCAGAGTTCCAGTCTTCAAAGGGCTGCCTGGAACTGGGGGGAGCAGGATGAAGCTCCCTCCAAGGGTGAGGGTGAGGGGGCACATGTCCCCACCAGATTTCTTCTCCGACAGAAGGGTGCGGGACTGCAGTGGGGCAGGACCAGTTCCGGAGGAGTTGCCTTGCAGCCCAACAGATGGGACCTGGCACATGTGCCCAACAGCAGCGTGGGGCACAACTCCGTGCCACTGCTGCTGCCACTGCTGCACCTCACCATGGCAGTGCAGCACTCCCTCCTGCACTGGGTCCCACCTGATGTGTCACGGAGGCAGCTCCTACCTGGAGCTGGTCTGGCCTTGCTGTAGCCCCATGTCCTGCTGTGGATGCAGAAATCTTGGGGGGCACATGCCCGCCCCTCCCACTGTATTGCCTGTGACCTCTCCCTGCACCCCCATCTGTCATCTATACCCACACCCACCTTTCCCACACACCCATTCCCTTCCTCACATGCTGAGGGCAGGGAGCTATGGCTGGGAGTGAGGGGCACCAGCAGGGCGGGGGGTGGTGGCTCTGGGGTGGGAGTGAGGGGCACTGGCAGGGCCAAGGGTCTGTGGGTCAGGAATGAGGGGCAACAGCATGAACAGGGGCAAGGTCCTGGCATATCAGGGCTGCTCAATACCACAAAGTAGAGGTAGGGACAGCCGCAAGTGGACTTGCATCTTGTTGAGTGAAGTGGGCAGGGGAAGCTCTGATTTTTCCATGATAAATAACCCAAAATGCCAAAATAACTTAGGTATTTAGAATATATTTTATTGTAATGACTGAGGCACTGGTAGGCCTTTAAAGTTGCTTAAAATTGTAAATATATCAATAAAACATTGTGTTCAAATGATACATATAGTGGATACATACTGATACATATAGTGATAGATAGTGGTTCTTCATTTTAATTACAGGAAAATGTAGATTTGGGGGTTTTAATCAGAGAATTTGCAGGGGCAGGGGGAGGGGACTGGGCCAAACAATTTGCAATTTTAATCACAGGAAAACCAGGAACCCGCTTTATGAGGCATGCTGCCCATAGCTACTTAGAAGTTGGACAGCCCTGCTCTAGAATCATTCATGCACTTCACTGGGACTTAAATAAATTGGATCCATTCAAGTTAAGGATCTTAATACTCAGAGTTTAGCACAAATTTGGATTACAGAGAAAAGAAGATAGGACTCCTTAGAGCTTAAGGGAGGTCTTATATATATGTAACTGACAGTGCTGAACAAGTCTCAATATTTTACTACTTAGATTTGGGGATGAAATAGGAACTCTTCAGAACTCTCCATAACTATATCACCATTTTATCTTGCTATAATTTTGTATATTCTGACATGTAACTATTCTACACCTTATATTCTATGTTTAGTTTGGCTTGCAAAGTGCACAGTGAGACAGGGGGGCAATATATTGCATAAGGGGGGAAAAACGGGCAGTGGACATCCAGTTCATTCCAAGCAGGACTCTTGTAGAAAATCTAGCATGTCACCACATAAGAAATATGCAGAAGGAGGCTAAATCAAGGTTACACAGACAACCTTAGTTGTGGTGTAGCTTAGTTGTCGAGTGCTTAACTTTTCATTTTTAATGTTGTTCTGCTAGTGCTACCTGAAACATGTACTTGAAAAGATAAATACTATGAGGGGGAACCTCATTAGACTTTGTCAAATTTGACGTGAAGTTATATTTGACTCTTGAATTTGAATGTCTTGCAGATTTGATCTGAATCTATTTAAGGTACTCATTTGTTATCAATTACCCAAATTTCTCGAATTGGTGGCTTTATACAATGAAAATATACCTTATCCTATCCTATTAAGGATGGCACTGGAATGATATGCACCAAAGCAAAATAAAGGGGGTGTCATTGATTGTTTAATCCCAACATAATTTCTTTCTGGGCAGAATGCCAAATGCCTGCTCCACCTAGCATGTAATCTCTCTACTTGTACCCTTTTAATTTGTTTTTAGTCACAGCATGCATTCTCCACAACTCCATATACATTCTAATTAAAATCTGACTTTTCCTTTTAGTGAAGGCAAGACTCCTGCTGTTATTTGAATATGATGCAAATCTTGAGCAACTCAATTTATATCTCTGTAACTGTGGGCTGAATTTTGACCCATATCAATTAAAAACATGATCCTCATCATGCAAAGATTTAAGCACGTTCTTAGCTCCAAATTATCTTTGAGTCATTGGGACAGCTTGCGTTCCTGTGTTATATTGTGACTGTAGGAGGTGACCTAAAACAGGCCCAGTCAGCTGATCTGATTATGAACGAGTTTGTTAAAGCCATAGGGCATGTGTGCATGACACTTGAAAGCAGATTAAATGCTTTTGCACCGCTTTAATGGCGTTGGTGTTTGCATGCGTTGGTGGCGTACTGTGCATTAATTCCAGCTGCAGTAGCACATTTGGCAGCGTAATGTGCCTTAAATGACTTTGGGGCACAGCAAACTAAAACACCTCTGAGGAGTTTTAGTTTGCTGCCCTACATCCACGGAGCGAAACACTGGGCTCCATGTGGCTCAGGGCAGTGAGCCTGATCTTTTTTTTCCCACCCCCTTGGAGCCTGCCTGCCTGCATGAGCTGCATGGGGACCTGGTCCTTCTCTCCATGGCTGCAGTGCCCCCAGGAACCACTCAAACCAGGTGCCTGCGGGCGGGTGCCGCCAGGGGGGCAGCGGGGGGGGGGGGGGCGTTCTGCCGCGGAGGGAAGCATTAGTTTTCCATCCCCAGCCCAGGACTTCTCTGCCTGCCAGCAGCTTACCCTCCCCTCCCCACTGCCAGAGAAGTAGGTAAGACAAGGGTGTACATGACATGGGGGCTTACTTTGCCCTAAATTGAAGTGGTGTTTTTAAAAATCCACCACTTCAATTTAGGGTGAAGTAAACCCCCTGCTTCATCTACGCATGACCATAAAAATCCAATCAGCTGAAGTGCTTAGTTTGGGAGAAACAATACAAGAAGGGTCCCTACTTTCTGAGCCATGAAGTTTTTGTGGGTTTGACTGTTTTAGCTACAGTCCAATCATTCCCAAGCATTTGGGACTAAATTACTGCTGGTAACTGTCAGAATTTCTCATGAGGCACCCTTCTCTAACCCAGAAATTGGGGGTGGGAAGGAGGAAGGAGTGCTGTCTGCAGCCTGGATGCAGACCACTGACCATGGCTTTGTGGACCATCAGTGGTTTGTGGTCCATGGTTTAGGAGTTGCTGCTACACTCCATCACTGTGGAAGACTAAGGGCAAACTTGCAAATATGGGTGTAAATTGACTTGGGTGGATTATCCTACTTCATTGAACTGGAATGCCACTTGTACTTAAAGTGGATGCTGGGCTGGGCCCCAACAGGCAAATTGCACACATTCCTTGTCACAAGTTTGACTATATATCATTTATTAATCTTGAGGTTTCCTCAAAACGCTGATGTCATGGAGCTGTTTTCTTACTGGTTTGTACATGTTTCTTTCAACTAAATAAAAGCAGAGAAAACTATTGTCCAGAGGTCATTTTCCGGTCATTGGATTATAGAACATCTTGGCTCCTAGTATGAACACGTGCGAAAGCAGAGCTAAATAGTTTAAGGAAAACTATGCCCAAAGGCTGGGCACTTAGGACAGCACACCAAATCCTCCACTGCAGTGGTGCTCAACCTTTCTGACCCCTGGGGCCAAGGGATGGGCTCAGGGCCCGTTCACGGACAACATCAGACCTTGTGTGCAACGGTCTGGTCTGTATTGCCCTGGCTGGTCCCCGTGCTTCCTTGCCTGCCTAGATTAGGTGCTGGGGCTCTGTCAGGGTTCTTACACTGCCACTTTTGGGGGTGGGGGTCTGCAAAAAGATTTGGCTGCGGTTGGGACTGTGTGCACGGGTCCCCATCAGTACCACAGGGCTGGGGCCAGCAGCGGTGGCAGCCAAAAGCTGCTGCTGTCTGGGCTGCTTAGAAAGGCCTGGGGTAGGCCAGCAGCTGTGTGCCATGGCACACGGGCCGATGGGGCTGCTGACCAACCTGTGGAGAGGCTATGGGTGTGGGGGGGGGGTCTCTTATGGGGGACTCAGCGCTCCTGAGCTGCCCCGTAATTCAAACCCTGGGCTCTGCGGCACCTCGGGTGGCCATTATAGAGGGCATTCCTGTTTTCTGCTACTCTGGCCGGTATTGATACGAAACACGATAACTTTATGTCCTCTATTTTTTGAAAAGTAGAGGATATAAAGGCGTCGGGTTTCGTATCAGTGCATGACAACCGGACTGTCCTCGATGATGGCCACCCCAGGGGATGCTGAGGGCCAGGGCCTGCAGGGCTCCTCACGGCGCCGGGGGCCTGTGCGCTGCGGCCCCGGGGGGGAGCGCCCCGCGCAGGGGCAAGTGGAAGCAGTCCCGGGGCCGGCGAGGCGCGGGCAGAGACACAGAGGGAGCCCGGGGACGGGAAGCGTCCGGGAGCCGCGCGGCGGAGGACGAGTAGTGCCGGGCCCGGCCGCAGGTGGCAGCAGCGGGTAGCGCCGCCCCTCGGCTCCGGGGAGGGCAGGGCGGAAGCGGCTGCCGGAACCAGCCCCATGGCCGCCGCTGCCGCCGCCGTGCCCGGCCG